AACTATGCACAGCTTATTGTACCTCAGTTATACCTCAGTAAAGCTGTTTTTTAAAATAAAGCAGAAAGGAATTAAGAAAAATACAAGTCTTGAGAGTTTCAAGGTATAATTGACATATAAAGTATTCAGAACCATTTAAAAGAGAGAGGAATATGGAGACAGAGATAAATAGCAAGATGTAGAGACACAGAAAGACAGAGAAGGAGAGAAAGAGACACAGAGAGACAGGAGTCCTTGCATGGGGGAGGGAAAAAAGGGGGAGAGAGAAAGAGAGAGAGAGAGAGACCCAAAAAGAAATACTCAGTGGGCACCTTATACTGAAAGACACTTGGAAAATTTCAGAGGGAAGCAAAAACAGAAAGAAGAAAGGAAGGGAGAAGAGTCTGGAAAAACAAACACAAAGCATGGAACGATGATAAGGAGAGGGACGAAAGAGGCGGAAAGAACGAGGGCACGGAGAAGAAAGAAAAACCCTTGCACCAAGAAGCGCGCGCGCCCCAGAGCGGAGACCCCTCCCCATCCCGGAGCCAGGAAAGTAGGGTGTGGCCTTTGGGACTGGGTGGGGGGTGCTCTGGGGGCGGAGGTGGGGGGAGGCAGGAGGAGTGATTGCTAAGACCGACAGAGCGCCTCACTACCCGGGAATGCGCCCCAGGGAGCAGTGGGTGGTTATAACCCAGGCCGGGTGCCCAGAGCCGAGGAGGAGGCGGGAGCAGGACAGCACAGGCCTGAGAAGTCTGCGGTTGAGCTGGGAGAAGGCTCCCCACCCCCTAACTGGGGGACAGGTGCAGGTGAGGCCAGAGGAAGGGGACAGGGAGGGAGAGGTGTTTCCGTGTCTGGCTCTGGTCTCTGATGCATCTCTCTCTCTCTCTCTCTCTCCCTCTGTCTCTCTCTCTCTCTCTGTCCTCCCTCCTCAGTCCAGCTGGAGGGCGCTGGATGTCGACTCCTCTGACTCTACAGTCCCTGGGTACAACTCAACTCTGATGGTCCTCTCTGCCCTGGGAATCGGGTAGGGGAGGAAGTGGAGGTATGGGTTCCCAGAATCGCTTGAGTTTCTCCATCCTCTGCCCTCCCCTGCCAGGTGCAGTGGCCATGGCTACAGCAGAACCCTCTTGGAAGTGGATGGTCTGTGCCCTGATCACAGCCCTGATTCTGGGGGTGGCAGGTAATCAGGACCCTATGTGTGCATGACAGCTAACTGTGCANTGGCAAAAGCAGGGAGGTGAGAGGGTTGGGAGACCACTGTGTGTGGGTAAGAGTGATGGGAGAGGATAGCCAGGACCAGATTGACCTCAGACCCCAGGTTGAGAGGCTGGGACTTTCTCCTGAGGGCAATGGGGAGCCATGGAAGGATTGGGAGCAGGAGCAGCACTGGGACCACGTGCAGGATAAGCCAGAGGGGAGAACCTAAAAGACGGGAGGAAGCTGAAGTGATGCTGCAGGTGAAGAAGATGAGGGCTGAGCTGGGGCTGGGGGAGCTGGAGAAGGGAGGCTGAATGTGAATTCACCGTATGGAGAAGTTTGTGTGGATGGCATTCTCCTAACGGGAATGACCTGTAGAAAAGCTGGAGGTGTGAGAACACCTGGTGTCAGGATGGTGGGGGCTGGGGCTTGAGGCGGCACAAGTGGGAGACGTGGCTAGAAATGTAGGCCAATGGAAAATGGTGCTGGGCCTTGAATGCCAGGCAGAAGAACCTGGCCTTGGTCTTGAGGGCCTTGACCAAAAAAAGGGTAGGACCAGATCTGTGTGTTAGATCTTGCTGGGGTCCATCGGCAGTGGGGGGAATGGCCAGCGAGGAGGTGAGACTAGAGACCCTCAAAGAAATGAGGGGAGTAGACCTAAGGCAGAGCTGGGTAAGGACTACCGCAGATATTCAAAGTCAATCCTCTGTCATTTTATGATGAAAGAGTGAAGTGGTCCCAAGACAGAGGGAGTGTTTGAAAAGGACAGAGTCCCTCTGTTCCAAAGCTCTTTAGAGTTGGAGAAAAATCACAGTTACATGTCTAAAGAACCAAGGAAATAGGAAATTTTACCAAAGGGATGTGATGGGAAGGAGTGGTTGACTTCTTTTTGTCATTGCCATTGTTACTTTATTTATTTATTTAACTTATTGGTTGACTTCTATGAGCACATGGGAAATATTGAGTCACGTGAACGAACTGGGCTTGCCTTGGCCAATTCCTTCTAGAAGTTATAAATGAGAAACAGAGCCATGCAATGCCCGGGGTCACCAAGAGGAACCCAACCAATGAATGTCCAAACCAAAATCAACAGTTAAGTGGGAGGGAATCATCTTATTTAATGGATAATGATGATGATGATGATGATAATAATAATAATAATAATAATAATAATAATAAAAAGCACATGCTGGGCACTGTTCTAAGGGCTTTATATATTAACTCATTTAACCCTCGTAGCAAACCTGTGAGCTAGGTACCATTATTGTCCCCTAATTACAGATAAGGAAACTGAGGCACAAGAGCAGATCCATGGTTTGGCCAGAGCCTCACAGAGAGTAGGTGGCCAAATCGGAATTTGAATGCCAGGGCGCTGGTGCCAGAATTTGGGTTCCTCACTGCTCTGCTATATGAAAGTCTCCCTTCAATTCTGATATGTTTCAAATTGAGCTTAGACATACTGAAAGACCCAATCCTCATCATGAATATTTTCTGAAGCAGAATCTTTGCACGTTTGGTATTTAAGGTGCTTGTATGTCTAAGAGAATTTTACTTATTTTAGAGACAGCTTTGTCATCACTTCGGCTTGAAATGTACCACTGATCTGTGATACAGAGAGAGAGACGTACAGATGTGTTTAAATGCTGGGAGGTTTGTCTGACAACTGAAGGATTTCCAGAAGAGATTGAAGGTGTTGGTTTTAGAAATGCAGTTTCAGATGTTTGAAGATAATTAACTTACTTTGTAAATTAGACCAAACATTGTTATAAAGAACCCATAGAAGTGACTGACAGAGGCCGGCCGAGTGGTGCGATGGTTAAGAACTGGCTTGGGATGCCAGAGGGCCCCGGTTCGGATCCCACATGTGAAGGCCAGTGAAGCAACGCCCTCCACAACTAGACTGAAGAACAAAACGACAGCAACTTGTCTGTTCCCCTTCCCCCAATTCCCCACCGCTGTTCCCATACCTCCAATTCCCCAATAAAAATCTTTAAAAAAAAAGTGACTGACAGTTAAGACATCCCTAGAATGAAAAGGTTTGTAAGCTAAACTTAAAAAACTAAGAAAGTATAGGTTGCTGGATTTCTCACTTGAATGCAGGACATATTCATCGCAATAATCAAAATAAACCTCAGAATTTTATTTTTTAAGGTTTTTTTCCCCTGTGCACTAAAATCAGCCTCAAGGGCTCTAAAACCTTCATCCAACAGGTGCTGGGTGACAGAAGTGAACAGGAGAGCTCAGGTCTGCCTTCAGGGAATGGGGCCCCCACAAGGGCGGCATCGCCAGGCGTCTCTGTCCATGTTGTTCCGGGATAGATCTGAGTCTGGCACACAGTACGTGCTCAGCCAATAGATGTTAGATGAGTGTTTGGCTCTTACATCCTAGTGGGGACGGAGACTTGCA